CAAGTTTGTGTATACACTCACTCACGCAGAATATTTTTTTTTTTTTTTTATTCCAAGAGATATGTGTGTATATGTTTTTATATATAGACATATATATATATCTCATAATGGGGCTCTTTCTCAAGAGAGAGAGAAAAATATATTTTTATATATTTATATATATATATGTGTGTTTTTCTATATATATATATCTATATATATACATAAATATAGATATATATATATATATATATATATATATATATATATATATTTATATATATATATATATATGTATATATATCTATATATATATATATATATATATATATATATATATATATATATATATATATATATATATATATATATATATATATATATATATATATATATATATATATATATATATATATATATATATATATATATATATATATATATATATATATATATATATATATATATTGCTCCCGTTGGGTTAATTGATATTTAATACAACAACATAATTACAATAAATTTATATATGAGAGATCAAAATAAAATAAATTGTATGTTTGTGAATTGTATTATTTGGTATCCCACATCGGTGAAACAATGTAACACTTTTTGGTTTATATAGCACAGGAAATAGAAGACTGTTTGTCCCTTCGGGGACATCCGATAAAATTGGAACGATACAGAGAAGATTAGCATGGCCCCTGCGCAAGGATGACACGCATAAATCGAGAAATGGTCCAAATTTTTTTTTCTTTTTAATTTTTCCTTCGATTATTTTCGTAAAATTTTTACTCCTTAGATAAAATGTTCCTTTTGAAAATGTGCATAGATGTGTGTCCTGTAATGTCCATAACTGTAGAATTTTCGTGAACCCGAAAACTCAAAGGAGGTTAATTTTCTTTTTAAATCTTGTTATGCAATGTGGTCGATGAATATCAAGCTGGTTCAATCGCTGTTCAAATTGGTTTCCGAATTGAAACACTCTGCAATATTTTCTGGATTTAAGTCTCTAAACAACAATGTCGAACAAACAACAGAGGAGTTCGATAAATTGGAACAAAACACAAATGGCGAAAACATTGCTACACATTATAACCATTAACTGTCCATAATTTCGAAAAAATCACAGATCAAATTCGAGGCAGAAATCGAACATCGTTTTTTTTACGAAACTCTGAATCCAAACAAATCTGCGAGCAAATTACGCATATATTTGCAATTTTCATCACTCGAGTCATCGTTATAAGAGCCACAAACGTTTATGAAATTTCAAGTCAAGTTATTTATCATTACAAGAAGCAGCACAGAATATCGATGAATCTCTAAAATCAGCCCCAAAATCGCTGAATAGAAATCGAAAGAAATTTTGAAGTGCTTTATAGTTTTTTCTCACACGCATAATTTGTTCTCCGGTGGTTTCGGGAAATCAGAGCTCGGCATTAACCTAATCTCGCTTCCCTTTGTAATACCTACAAAGATTGCGAAACAAGAATTTCTTCTCAAGTTAGCTTCTTCCACAAACATAAATCTTACATAAACCCAAGCTAGTCACACACACACACACACACACACACACATGTATATATATATATACACACACTCACACACACGGACCTCTTCAGCAAATTTAATCAATATGGTTGTCCTGGGTCGTTGTTGCCCATCCACGGGTACAAAATGAGCAGTTACGACAGCTGGAAAACCCGCATTATACAACACTCCCTGCAAAAAAAAAAAGGAAAAATAAATAAAATAAATAAAGAAAGAATTTATTAGAGTCATTTACCAACAGAAAAGTAACTTAGAAGCTCTATTTAGTGTAGTGCATACCCTCACTATTCCAGCAACAAAAGCTCCACAATTGAAGGCGCCCATATCTTTCGGTATCGAAATAAATCTAAAAAACGTAACATCTCAAAGCCCGTCCAATATCGCAAGAAATTAATTTTAAAAAAATATCGAATTTGTGACATAAATTGGAATGTGAATTAATGAAAACCTGTTGACCAGAAGTTCCTTCTCGCTGATCATGTACTCGTCTTCATGCTCAGTGCCTTTCTCGAGAGAGTCGGCAACCTGACATTAATATAATTTAAAACCAAAAGCCACGAGTTTGCTCTTTGGAAACAACGAGGGGTAAAAACACGTATCCCTACCTTTCCAAACAAGACTTTCCACACTGTGCTGTGTATGAAAGATAAAATACCCAATAGTCGAGTCTCTCTTCTGTTACCCTACAGCATCAATAAATTATTAAAATATTTAAATGAACAATCAACGATTCACTCCAGTTACTTTGTACATTGCACAAGCTAAGCCTAATCAGAACAATCCGCGGATAAATTTACTTGTCTATTTCATAAAAAAACAGATACGACATCTCATGAACTTGTACTTCGGAAAAAGAAAAAAAAAAAAACCCGAGTAACATGCAAAGAACTAGCAGGAGAGAACCTAACGCAAACAATAAGCATGAGTCGTAATGCATTATGCTACATATAGACATAAAAAAACAAAGCCACCCTTCGGTTTGAAAAAATATATTATGAAACAATAATATAGATATATGCTACCAACGAAGTTTCGCACCTTCTCCCTGTGACAGAGAAGTTCGAGAACCCTAGCTCCGACAGCATAACCAGCATCCTCTAACCTGATCCATAAGTAATTCATCAGCTCTCCGTTTATACATAATTTAACGTCTAAATAAACATTCAACGAAAGTCCGATCACGATCATCCTCTAACCTACTGCAATTATCAATCTAGCTTAAATAATATATTCCCCGATTATTTAGGTAATCCAAAATCGCAACTCGAAACATGAAATCAGGCATTGAATTGCTCCCCTCAATGTTAAAAATATACCGAAAATAACAAATTAAACAGTAGTTTACCTTCGTTCCAATTCTCCAATGTTGTCAACTTGTGTCTGATTGTATTGAACGAGCTCGGAAAACAAGAACGCAAATGCACTCAGACTAACCTGAAATCCAATCCAATCAAACTAATTTTCAGCAAAAAAATAATACTCAAAACCTAAAAAAAAACCCTAATTTAACCATTGTCAAAACGGATCGGTGAAAATTGGGAAATGGATCGGCGATTCTTCTCGAATTAAACTTCAAAAAAATTCCTTCCCACCTCAATTAATCAAATATATGAAATGAATCTTAAAAAAATCCAAAAAATTGAAGATCTGAATTGTAAACAAAACCTCTTGTTTCCCCTTGCTGATGGGTCTGTCGAGCACGTTCGAATATTGCTTGATTTTCCCAACTCCTATCATCACTGCTTTTCAGCTCAACTCTCTCTCTCTCTCTCTCCCTCTCCAGTTTCCTATTTTCCTTTTTGCCCTTTTCTTTGAATTCGTTTATTTTATTTTCCTTAAAAAAAAAAAAGAAAAGAAATAGCTGTGTGAAGAAGAAATATTTATTTTAAATTAATTATGTACAATGGGCCATGATTAAATTTAACGGGCTCGGCTTTGTTTTCTTGCTTGGGCCTACTACATATTATTTTGGGTTAAGGCCCGTTAAATCTACAAAAAGTATTTAATTAAGTACCATTATTTAAGAAATTTAAAAATTAATTTCGCATTTTATGATTTTAATGTTAAGACATTGTCGATAAAATCAATAATTTTAATCGGTATTCTATTTTAATTTTCCCATTGAACTAAAAAATAATACTGCATTTAAAAGCCCAAGATTTGATGTCATATTGGACCCAATTATTTAACGTGGTACATTATAATTATCAGCCCATTCCTAGTTTGTGCTTTCCAACTGGACCCAACCAACGACATCGTATTGTGAAAAACACGTAAAAGAGAGGTCTTACTTATATTATAGTGTAAATTACAACCGACCCCCTCACGTATGGATAAACTATGGAAAACCCCCTCATGTTTAGATATTTACAATCACCTCTCAACTATAAATCTTCTTACACGTCCACCAATGCATTGTCAAATTTAGTGGAATCTTATAGATTATATGGAATATTATCAAGTTTGTACCCATTTTATCACATTTGAGCTCCACATTTTGAAGCAAGATGACAATGAGATGTGTTTTTTGGTTTGTATATATCAGTTGTGGTACATCAAAAACTGCATTTTTTGACAAAACGAGTGCAAACTAGAGAACATTCAACAGTATATAGAAGAGATTATGTTAAATTCGTAATTTGACCATAGCTCTTGTTGTAATTTACCCTACTTATAAGAGCTAAATGACCAAACTACCCTTCGGGGGTGAAAAACCAAATATAGCTCAACACTCGCACAGAAATTTCAGATCTGAAAATGAAAATAAAAAAACCCCAACTCATGAATGAGGCGAAGAGAGAGAGATGGTTGTTTCTAAGGGTGGTTGCTCCTTTCTTCTTCGCCTATGATTTCATCTTCAAAAAGTCAACAACCCTTCATTTTTTATTCTCTGTCTGCAAAACCAACAGTTGTTCCGGGTCGGATCTCTGTGTGTTTTGCAGAGAGAATTCGGTCAAACGGATCGATCTGTTTAGTTTCATGGTGATACATGAAACTATCTGATCATCTGCTGACGTCATCATCATCATCATCACCATCAATAACAACAACGACAACAATTGCTTACATCACTCTGTTTTTCAACGTGGTTTGAACCGGCGACCTTCTGTGTGTGTAGGCTGTGACGATTAATTTTCTTCGAGTTGGGTCGGGCAATGGAGATAGATCCGACCCGTACCTTGGCGGGGCGGACCCGGGTTACATTCTCATGGATCTGGGTTTTGCAGCCATGGCGGTGTCTCTCTCCTTGCCTGCTATTTTTCCAGATCTGAGCCTGAAATTTTTTATTTTTTAATCTTTTATTTTTATTTTTATTTCTTCATAAAATGATTTAATGAATATCTTAACTATTAAGTTGACAAAATTTATATTGAATTTAAAAATAATTTTACTTTCTGCTAATAAAATACAACATAATTCTAATTACAAAAGGTTAGTACTTAGTGCGTGGTAATTAAGTCAAAAAAAACTTATCACTGATTTGTTCATTATATTAAATGGAATCTATACTCTGAATTACAATTATTTCATGATTTAACATTGTGTTTAATTATATTACCATAATGACTATTATTTAATTCACAAAAAAGGAAGGACAAAATCGTAAAATTCACCCACAAAGCAGAAAAAACCCTTTGGCTTTTCCCCCATATATAAATAGAAGAAAATAGCTGCGAAATGTCACCAGTGCAATTGAAGCTCAATGAATGAGGCACAGAGAGGATAAAAAAGGGATTTTCTTCAAGGGGTGGTTGCCCCCTCTCTGCTTTGCCCATGATTTCACTTATTTCACCAACAGCCCCTTTATTTAGGGGAAATTTGCTTATTCGTCCCTCTCTGTTATTATTATTATTATTATTATCCAGTTGGAACGGAGGGAGTATGTATGTATGTATGTATGTATAAGTTTGCTGGATTCATGAGAAGGCTGTGATGATGATAAGTATCCGCAGAGCAAATTGGATCGGGCGATTCGGATATCCGATCCGTATCTTGGCGGGGCAACCCGGACGGCATCTCGCATGCAACCGGGTCTTTTTTGCAGCCATGGCGGATTCGGCTTTTTGCCCGATCTCGTCACAGATCTGAGCCTTTTTGAAATCCTTCAATTTATAAATCGAGAAATTGTGTGTTAAATTGGATCGGGTGATTCGGATATCCGATCCGTATTTTGGCGGGGCAACCCGGATGGCTTCTGGTAAAAACCAGATGCAACCGATGGGGTTCATGTCTTTTTACCCGACCACACACCCACTGATCTTAGCCTCATTATTTATTTATTATTAGGGTAAATTCCACTTTACCCCCTTGTACTCTGCCCAAGAACCACTTTACTCCCTCGTACTCTTAATTTCATCGATTTACCCCCTTGTACTTGTACAATTTCCCAATACAACCCTCTTCATCAACTTTTTTCGATTTTGACTTTGACGCCATTTGGTCAAGAGTCAAAATATTGACGTAAATATTGAATTTTTTCGATTTTGACTCTCGAGATTAGAAAAGAGAAAGTTTCACACATTTATATATTTTTTTCTTTGCACTGGGTGGAATCGATCAATTTTTGGGTCTTGATTTTTACTCAGTTAGGGGTTCAATTTGGGGATATCTTGGAAGGGGAACTGGTGGGAGAAGAAGAAATGACAGTATTGACGGAGGAGAAACGACGCGTTATAGGCAGTCGCAATTTTGTAATCATAGAGTTGACCAAATGGCGTTAGAGTCAAAATTGACAAAAATTGAAAAAAATGGCTGTATTGGGAATTTGTACAAGGGGGTAAATCGATAAAATTGAGAGTACGAGGGGGTAAAGTGACTCTCTAGGCAGAGTACGAGGGGGTAAAGTGGATGTACCCTTATTATTATTATTATTATT